TTTAAATGTAGACTAGCCCGCCCGCAGACGTGGCCGGCCGAGAAGCTCGGTTGAGGGGCGCAGCCAGCTCACGCCGCCCCCTCCCACTTCACCCGCTCAATGCCGACCGACAGACGCCAGACACCAATAACTGACACACCACCGCCACCCTTTGCAACCGCGCAAAGCCTCGCGATCCTTCGCGTCTACCCCCCCGTCTACCCCCGCGGTACCGCGCAACCCCTCGCGTCTAGAGGGGGTAGACGCGGGGGTAGACGGGGGGGTAGACGCGGGGGGTTGCGCGGTTGCAAAGGGTGGCGGTAATGTGTCAGTTATTGGTGTCTGGCGTCTGTCGGTCGGCATTGAGCGGGTGAAGTGGGAGGGGGGGTGAGCTGGCTGCGCCCCTCAACCGAGCTTCTCGGCCGGCCACGTCTGCGGGCGGGCTAGTCTACATTTAAAAAACTACGGGGCACCCTGTAATTTGCGCCTGGCCCTGGATCTGGGCATAGGACGGAGGGCATAGAAAAGAGGTGAGGGAGGAGGAGGGAAGGTGCGTCGGGGCCCCAACCCACCTCACCTTTCACCTTCCTAGTGCACTGACAAATTAAGTGTGCAACTGCAAATTGAATTCTGGCAACGCCGTATTTATATTTTTCCAGATGCTGACAATAATCCTGATATGGAATGGCACTCTAACTGCAAGATATCTTGGGATCGACAAGAGTTGGATAAGCTAAAGGAAAGGGTGAAGAGCCGTGGCCCAGCTGTGGTGTTTAGAGAATACCTTTTCAAGTACCACAGTGACCAGGAGAATGTGCCGCCGCCAGGCCCACTCAAGACTCTGCAAAACTTGAGGTCACTGGCGAATAGAGAGATGCAGAACGACAAGGACGAAGAAGAGGACTTAAGATTAGAAATAAGGAAGGACCCGAAACTTTTGCTTGTCAACTTGGATTACCCCAAGTTTCAAGTAGGTATTCTTTTCTTTATCGCTTTATCGCAACAACAAATCTGTTGGTAAAGAGCTTCTTAAAATTTTGGATATTTAGAGGGTGGTCCATAGACCCCTTCCTTTACTTTGCTTATACTGTACCAGGTGGCTGATTCACGCCGCGCACTTCTGTAGTTATGCTGTACCGCATGCACGAGTGCGGGCGGGTTGCCTACTCGCTCGGCTCGTAAGGCGCCGTGGACAGGGGCGATAGGCAAGCCTGCCCGCACTCGTGCATG